TTTTTTTTTTAACTCCAAACTTTCTAATAAAATAATCCGTCATATGTTTGATGATATTCTGGATCCCACTCTTCCATTTAAAAACTCTATTTGTCAAATTTAACTCCCCACCCACAATCAGTTCATAAATTATGTATCAAATATCTCAAATTTCCTACAAACCAAAGAAATTTACATTAAAACCTTAAATGGAATCCACTTATTCAATAATTTGGTGTTGAAACCAGTTATTGTCTTTTGTGCTGTTGCATTAATATTTTCACTGTGCATATGTTGACGCACGGTCGTCTGATGAGTTTGATTTGTTATTTTTCCAAAGTTCCCTCTATTAAAATGTTCTCTAACAAAGAAATGATTTGTGCACTTATTGTGGCAATTACACTGACAACTTTCTCATAAACACCATTATCATCTTGGGAAAAACTTTCATCCACAAAGCCAAATACTTTAAAGATAAGCCAAAATTCTCTTTTTCACAATGACTTTATTTTGTATTGTAAAGCTTTTACATCAACTGTTAACCTACTGTCAACTGAAGATTATGATTTAGAATCTAGCATTTTTTTTTTATTTACTTTTTATTGGACGCTACTGCGAACAGGTGACTCCTATTGGCTTGACAGAAAACACAATAAGACGGACCAGACTTCTGCAGCTTGGAGGTCAAATGATTCAGTTAAATTTAAAAAACAAACACACACCGGCATTGTGCACGAGTAGAGTTCTATTCATTCATCCATTAACTTTTACCCGCTTCTTCCTTTTCGGGTTCCAGGGGTCACTGATGCCCATGTCCAGCAGGCACTGTGTGAGAAGTGGGGGGGGGGACATCACCAAGACATGGAAGTTTGATGAACCATTGCATCATTTTTGGCTACCGGCTCTGCAGGGTCCAGTGGGATGGATGTTCTTCCAAATTATGCAGTACCGGTGCGTCAAAATGTTTGTCCTTCGTTTACTGTCACCTTTTACTGTGTAGCACTGCACACCACCACTTCTCATAAACCATCTGGTACTCAGCATCACTGGGGTTGCCAGATAGGAAATTAATAAATATTGTATTGTGGCTTTAAAATAATTGAATTTTGACCGAAACTATTACATATGCTAAGTGAAGGTTCTCTGTCTTGCTCAGCGTGCTGGATTGAGAGACAAAAGTTGAGGCATGTGTTGTGGTTGGTAAACATGCAGGTGATCGGATGACTCGGATCGGACTTTCTGATGATATGTGGAAGTTCACTTGAATAAAAACTAGGTGGAGCACAGAAATGCCAAAACTATCCTATATTTGTCATTTTTAAAAAACATATTTTCTTATATTGTATAGAGCCTAAAATCTTTGTATGGATATAATATTTATTGCATCTCTGGCAACAACGTCACCAACTTTAAGCTGCACGTGTTTCATTTGAATTACTACATGTAATGATCTAATCACACACGGATTACGGCAGCTGCACCCTGGCTGACAGGGAGAGGCTTCAGAGAGTAGTCAATAGCACAAAAGATAACTAGCTGTCCTCTCCCCTCCCTGATGGACATTTACACATCACGCTGCCTCAACAGAGCAGAAAATATAATCATGGACTGTTCAGACCCGAGTTTTGAACTGTTTGACTTGTTACCTTCAGGGAAACGCTACAGGTGCATCAGAACAAGAACAAACAGATTCAAGAACAGTTTTTTCCCAAAAGCCATCACCACACTGAACTCACACATGCACTGATTTAATAATCTAACCTCCCAAACACCTGGACTTCTACTGTGCAATACTACTGACATTTCATACTGTCAGTC